TCCAGAGTAACAACTCAATGAAAAGCCGTCTAAAAAATAAATTACACCACAAGAATTTCCGTGATTTAAGCTATCGAATGACTACTTTGAACTTGAAACTGAGCAGAAAATGCGCTTTTTCTAAGGGGTCGAGAGAAAGGGTGGGGGTAGCGGAAAAGTACCCATATCTGAAACGAGTAAGCAAAATTTCTTTATGGACCCCATGAAAACTGCATAATTTGCAAGAGTCAAACTTCCAGGCAAGGAGAGGCAATAAATTTATTTCTGTTCCGTCCAACAAAGACTGAATGGATTCTGTTATCTACTCCGTTTAGTAGATACACACACAATCAAAGGCTGAGAAAAATGATCTGGAGCGAATTTTTGTACCGTTTTTCAAAATGTCGTCATTTCTAGTTATATCATGCTTTTGAGCGGTATAACCAATTACGCGCTTTAGCACTCAAAAGCACTTTTCAGAGTAGTAGTTTTGAGAAGGGTTGATGCATTAAAATTATGTGGTCACTCAGCAGCCCTGAGTTATAGCTTCTCGCCTACTCCAGATTTGACTCCAGCAATGAGTGACAATAATTCTGAAACGCCATTTGTCATCTCTAACCCTCATGCGAATGAAGAAATCAAGGGTGACCTTACTCTAATGCCACTCTGACCTAGTCGGGCCTTTAGAATATCTTTGCCTTAACATTCGAAAGTTCATGAACCTAAATCATTGTTAATCGACGTGTCATACCGCCAATCTTAGCCCAAACTTGCATCAAGAGATTACCTATGAAAACTGGAAGACACGAAAAGAAGTGAAAGGGAAGAGACAATGGTTCTTCTTGATTGAAAGAACTTATAAGGATTCAATGTGTGCGGTGATTTGAAGAGTCGTAGCTTAAGAGTTTGTGCTAACTAGAACAACAATCATCCTTGCAAAAGAAAACTTGGCTTTTATAATGGTCTCTTAGTTCTTTATTATTCTTGGATTAGAAGATAATGCAAATTTGGATCTAATCTGTGAGAATGTGTAGCGGGATAAGCGTTGAAGATCTAAGCAGTTGGCGGGTTGTGAGTGGAGGGTGATGCTCAAAGTACGATGCAATTCTATCTACCCTAGTTCCTGAAAAAACGATCTATGGACTGTCCTGGCCACTGAGCGTCATAGCCTCACGGACAGCAACAGCGGATGTATTCGCAAGCGGACTAGACCCTTCGTTTCCGTGTCAGACTTTCTCCTTTCTTCTTCTTTCCAACGTAGTGCCCAAGTTACCGCTTTCGAATCACTCTCCTTTTCCAAGTGGCTAAGCATCAACTTGGTGTTAGGATGTTAGGTAGTCATGTATGCCGCTATAAATTCAGCATACATACTATAAGTAGTGGAACTCTCCGGCACTCATAATTTATTTTTATTGTGCATATAAATATTTATGTATATTATATCATAATGTTTATATTTGTAAACATATGCATACATTTTATGTACATAGATGTGCTGTATGTTAATATTTATTGAGTAGAAGAGAAGAATGGATAATGATGCAGTCTGTCAGGAAGTAAATTCCTGGTTTGATAATTGTGTTTCTATATTTGCATACTACAACGCTCTTATGCAATCACGCGCAAACGCCGTAGTTTGGTTACTTCAAGACTGCAGGGAATTTTACTTGGCTAGTATTTACTCCACGAAATTCATGAAAAAGAGAAATCTTCAAGCAACAGTTGAAGCAACACGCGAAATTTTCAATGACTTTTGGGACGATGAATACGAGCAAGTGATTAGGACGTGAGGAACTAGAGGCAATCACACAATGAAAATGTGATAAGGGGTCATACTATTAATGTAGGTAAATAACTGATATATATATATATATATGTATATATATTACATTTACATATTAAGTACATACATATATTGCATAAGTATACATAATATATATGTATATATATGCATTTATATACATATATACATATACACATGCGTGTATAAATAGTATATATATGTATATGTATGTATATACATACATATATGCATATATATGTGCGTGTATTATTATGTTTATATCTATATATTTTATTATGACATGTATTATATTATTACACAGAATATAATTCATAAAAAATTCTATGTTACGTCATACATTATAAATAGAATTTCTTATGCGTTGTACATTATATACTATAAATTGTATGTTGCGCATTTTACTTATTGCGCATTTTGTGTAATATATTGAATATAACTCTGTAGTATACTGATGATGTGGAGTGATGTGCAAAACCTTGAAGTCAGGCGAGACTTGAACCCGAATTTCACCCCTTCCGAGAGTGCATGCTTAACCAATTGCTCTACTGACGCCTGTTTTGTCACCATCCTACAGAAGCTGCAACGCATCAATCTGTCACTAAACAATCAACCGTCAACGGTCAATGGTGTAACACCTCTAAAAACGGTTAAAAAGAAAGAATTCTGTTTGATCATACATACATATATCCAATATTTGTCAACATGATTGGGTTTAGTGTTATGTCGACTACCAGACCAAATCGTTGACGGTTGGTTGCTGAAAGACTGATGCGACTACGTGCCTCCGAAAAGGGTAAAATGCGCGTTCGAATCCCGCTTGACGTCATCTTGCATAGCACTCAACATAATTAGGCATACTGTAACATCATAGCACCGTTAAAAAGCGGTCAATTGAAAAAATCTTGTTTGATCATATATGAGGCTTTATGGCATTTGTGTACAATCGTATACACATATTCATTTTAAAAAACAGCGTCTCATGTAACGCACTATACTAACCTTAAGACTTCTCGAATTTGATTCGCTGAATCGCATCCATTATCCATGAATGTTTCCGTACTTTTCTGGGTGTGTCATTCGCCACTGTATGCTTGTTTTGTTTTGCTTTTTTTGGTTGTCTAGCTCCTTGTCACGAATGTTATCGAATGCTGATCGACTTTAATTCGTTTGAAATCTTGATAGAGCACTACTAGCAAGTTCTCATTCGAATAATGATGAGCCTGATAAGATATTTTTAGTCTTCCATAAGTCACCTCTAGTGTTAAACGTACGTTGCGGCTTATTCTAGCGCCTCATCAGTAGCATGTGCCTTTCGGTTCAGCCAGATAGCTCACAAAATGTTATCAGAATGTACGTTTCACAATTCATTAGCAATCGACGATAAGATACTCTGCGGGTTGGGTGATCTCTTCACTTTACTTGCAATGTAACACGTTCGGCGTTGATTTCCTTACATGTAGGGTATTGGCTGAATCGAAAGACACGTGCTACTGATGAGACTTGCTAGAATGAGCTGAACGTACGTCTAGCACTAGAGATACCATAACAGATCACATGAAAGGCTTAAGAAATGTTATCAGATATTGTTTCAAGAGAGATCTCAAAAATAGTAGGTAAAAGAGGTATTGTGATGAGTCTCTTTCTCTCGTGTTAGTTTAAAACCAATTGTCTGGCCCAATAGACTGAGAGGTTGACGAGCTTGGAGTGAGGTCAAGTCAACACCACGATAGTTTGAGCAACTAGAGTAATGTGCAGGGGCATTACCGATCTGCTGCTTTAATTGAGTTACATTGAAACTACGATTTTCGGACTTTCCTAAAGAAAAGGTTCTTTTCATTTCTGCTCTCTTATGAACAAGATTCTAATCTCTCGTCAACTATTACAGTAAGATTCGAAAGCTGGCTGGTAGTCTAGAACATCGAGGAGGTAGTCCGGGTATAGCTGGAATGCAAAAATCATCATCTGCTAAGTGTGACTCATATATGGTTCGCAATGCCGCCACTTGATCCTCACTCAATTGACTAGGAATGTTATCAATGTATCACTTATGACGTGTATGCAAGCCGTTGTTTAGTTGGATTTTGTCTATTGCAATCTATCTCACAATGACGAATGACAAAAGATCGAATGAAATCGGGATGAAGTCAAGTCTAATTCTCGTTTGCGAGCGCGTCACATGCCCGCAGGCAGCTCGAAAATTGACCAGCTGTTCTCTCAAGACACGCTCACGTTAGTGTTAATACTAATCCGCTGACGGATTAGCATTGCTCAAGAGTGTGACACGGTGTGGGGAATATCCAATAAAAAAGTGCTGCACTTCTTCTACTCACGTCTGAGATTATCGTTGAAGTGATGAATGATTTGCTTTTGTGGGATAGACATTCTTTTCAGGCTAAATGACTTTGAGGACAGATGGGGGCGAAACGCACATCAGCTTGGATCGGCTGAATTGTAGCCTGTCAGAGAAGCCGCTCACCAAAAAATTCTCTTCACTTGAGGTAAGCGTTGCATAATGTCGTAAATATTCACCATGCAGGTGATCTTTTCGAAATATTTGAGAGCAACTTCTAAAACAAGCGTGGACACATTTTACATCATCATGAGTGTTTAAAAAGATCTTTTCTCATCTAATAAATACAAGAATTTTTTTATCGCATCACTTAAGATGACTTTAATGATTGTAGTTAGTTTGTAAGGATTGTAGTTACTGTTTATGTTATTACCGACGTGAGAGTTTTTATTTTCTTATAAACAGGAACTACTTCCGCTTCGAGAATAGCGACTTGAAGAACAAAAGGTCGACATTCCATAGTAAATATCACGCTCTACAGCTATAAAGCTTACCTCAAATTTTCCATCAAATTCAATAACTATTCTTTATCGCTTCAAAAATGCTCTCAATCACTTTTGACGTGGTCATTAATTGTATGTAACTCCTTCACTACCACCCTGTAACAGCATGACTGGCTGGCGCGCTGAACTCAGCACTGATTTAGCAATCAGTAAACAGTTTTGACGAAGTAAACCTGAAATTAAGATAAGTATTACCTTGAAATTTATATCATACCATTTTGCTCAAAAAAAGAAAAGTGATAAAAAGTGTCTCAAGAGCTATAGAAATGAGTTTGAAGATAAAAAAAATTATATACCCAGTGATGCAGACGGTTGGCGGCTGACAGACAGATGTGCTGTATCTTGAAAAAGTGACGTGCAAAATGGTAGTGCAACGGTTAAAGCACGCGCTCCCGAATAGAGTGAGATGTGGTTTCGAGTCCTACCTGAAACAAAAGTTCTGCACATCACTCCACATCACTGGGTATATCTGAAACATCATGCCACCCGCTAAAGGCGGTCTCAAACGAAAAGATTCCGATAAAAAGATGACTTTGGAGGTCCATAATCACGCATCTACAGGCACTAAGTGTTCGTATGGGCCAGAATATGTGCAACAATATCGTTATGAAAAGACATTTGAATTGAGTATTGAACACATATCATAGTCCAGATAACTGATTGATGCTCCTTTACTTTATCATTCTATTGTTTTGTCATAGGCGCAAAAGTATGAAGGATTTTTTGGGCCTTTAAGTAGCCTCAATCAAAGAGCTTTAATATCCTAACTTCTCAAATGTGAAATTTAGTTGAAAGCAGTCCAATAGAGGTTATTTCATTACATTCTGGTATTTGAAGTTAAAGCACCTAAAAGGATCTAATCATGAGTTCGATTTGTGTGCTACCACAAAAAAAGAAACGGAAGTCGCCACTAATTCGCTTTGAATTTTTTGTAGTCCTCAAAGCTGTTGAGTTTTATGAGGTAGACAATTCAATGCTATAGCAGTACAATTGAACGTTCACGTCTCGCATTCGCGTAATCTAGGTAAATCTACTTCTTTTCCGACTATAATCACAATGTGTCGTATTCGTAAATATCTGCGATTCTTGAGTAGGAGCTTCTTGTTTGAGAACATCTGCCAAACACACTTTTGAAGTCAAACGTTTTAGGTTGAGAGTCTCAGGAATAAACTATGAGAATTTCATAGAAAAGAATCGAAACATCTAGGTTGCTTGGAGTGCAAGGGATCATTGCTCAAAAGCTTTCTTAACTGATTCTCTTAACTATAAACATTGCTCGCCACCATCAATTAAACGAAACAAAATAGATATCAATTCGTTCCTAATGTGAATCGCCCTTGTGTATATAGACGATCTATTTTTCCCATCACCAAATGATTGCTGTGACTCGTTTTAGGAAGCTATAGCCTTACAGAAAAACACCATCACCATTCGCTTCCTGCGCTACCATAACATTGCCCTTCTTACTTTATTTAGAGTTCCGATAAGATGTTCGTGAAAAACATAATACTGTTATTAGTATTCATATTGGGTATTTTAGGGGCGTGTATCGCACCGTGTGAAGAATTTCCTGTAACATACACGTGCTTAGTGGTTCGATCTTACACTCATGGCTCGCTAAGCCTTTCATCTCCCGAGAGTTTGAAGATTGGTACCAGACTTGTCTGAGAAAATAGCATCTCTGACATGACACAGCGGTAGTTCACCATAATTGATTGTATACGCCAGAAACGCTCCCAACCATCTCAAACACTACCTAAAAATGGAATACGTGACTAACTCTCAAGAATTAATAATGTCGGGAGCTCTATCCATTTTCTCAATAATAATTCATAATTGTTACTCTGCAAGTTCTGACGCTTAGCAAAGCTTCTCTGCTCGGCTCTTCTTCACTGTCTCATGCGTTACATGACTACAGTAGCAATGAAGTGATACTAAGCGAACACCACCAGTGCAAAGGTGGTCCTCTTACGCAGTTCACACCGTCTCCTCTCATTACTCATCAGCACGACGGAATACATATTTTTATGGAATTTTTTAGCAGCAAAACTTTAGGTTTTCATTTTTACTGTAATAGAAGTATGTTTGGATATTAGAGCACAGTTCTGTTCGCAATGCCCACAAATATGACAGAAAATCACAACCTAGTGAGTGTTCTTAGACAGTGGATTTCTCAATCATTATCACAAATAACAAGGAATTGCCCTCGGCTACGAGTGTTTCTGCCTATGTAGGTCTTCCAATTAGTAGCCGAGCCTTCTTAACTTTCTCACAGTGCCAATTTCTGAGATAAAGCTCATTTTCAATTAGCTTTATTTTCTTGGACTATTGATCAAGAAGGCAAATTGCAAAAAGAACTCAACTTTGTGTGTTTCCAGGTGCTTCACTATCCTGTTCTGCTCTTCGCCAATACGGACGATACCAATGATCAGAGGCCATCAGTTGTTTGGAAGATGAGGTAGAGCTCTCAGAGCAACATTATATTACATCTTCACTTTATTGTGATAATCTCCAAATAGTGAAAGTTACTAATTTTTCTAAGTGTACATCTATGTTCTTCACTGATACTACGTTCGTTTTTTTTTTCTGAAAAACCACACAAGTGTCCCGTCTTCATGAAGAACTGCTGGGATATCGACACAATTCCCGTTGATATATGAGAGCTTGAACAAGATCTATTTATTCTTGTTTGATTCATGGGGCGATCCGTGGCAGACCTTTTCCATGTCATCATCACAAGCAGTTGTCGACACTTGTGGATGGGAGGGACGTCTGCCACTTTGCAACTAGAACAATCCTTCCAGGTCGCCGTCGACTACTGGCATTAATTATCGCTGCTGTGTTTCCATATGGGAACGACAAGCTCCTCTTTAGGCGAGACACCCCCTTTTCGGTAAATCATTCCCTTTTTTATATTGCAATATAAAATTAAGGATGAACTCATTGCGATGGTAGAAAGTTGAATTGTTGACGGAAACACACTACCAGGGTTAAACTTCATTGTGGCGTTGAAATTGTCTTTAATAGATAGCTAAAAGGTAAATAAACAAGTAAGGAGGCACATTCATAGTGGAAACAGGTGTGCCTGATTAGAACGCTGTAGAGAAAGGATAGGAAAATAGTGAGAAAATGTGAGTAGGTAACACGAAGGGCAATACCAAACTTTTCGAAAACAACTGAAATCTCAATCAGAGGATTAAATTGGCCTTGAAAACTCGAGTCATGTTTGCAATCGTAATTTGAAGAGCCTTTGCTTTTTTAGTGAAAGACTGAGCAATAGATTTTTTTGTTGATTATCTTATTGTTCAAATCTAACACGCTTTCTTTTTTCCTGTTTTTATTTTTCATTTACGTCACCCATGTACTAAACCCTTTTATGCGAACACCTTCGGCTAGAATTTCTTCCTCGAGGATTTCTGGCTGAGTGCTTTTTCAATAGCACGACTGCTGGATGCTCTTCACGCAGCGATGTTAATTTGGTTGCGGCTCCGTTACGCAAAAAACATCTGCTCCATTTGGTTGTGGAATGGCTCGCTGCTCAATTTCCACTATTGACAATTATTCAGCCACAGTGTAGAATGCTACGCTTCGACCTTTTTGGATTACACCGCTTTGTTGATGTACAATGGAAGTCAATATCGTTCTAGAAAGCGAATCGTGTAGAGACAATTCTCGTCCCTTTTGCTGATAATCTGCTTCTGATGACTATCTACTCTCTTCGTTGAAGTCGGGTCTTTTGAGAGGAAAAAGCATTTTTCATAGCTGTTCAACTGAGAATCATATCGGTGAAAAGTAGAGCTCTAATTTACTACAGCTAAGGAATTCCCGACATCATTGCTCATAACGTTTTTTGTGCTTCTCACTACAAGTTTTCCTCCTCTTTTTCTTTCACTTCTTTCCTCACACTTTTCGGTTTCTATTTCAAATTCCCAATTTTACTGCCTCCTTATTGCTACCGGTTTTCTTCTCGACTATCAATCATATTCTTAATGAATTTACTTGCAATATTTCGAAGAATTTGTTGAACACTTAGAGCTCGATGTCAATTTTCACTAAGCTATGATAGTTCCTGCTTATTGAGATTGTCAAAACCTCAAAGGTTTTGTTAAGCTTTACTCTATTACCACACTGAGATGATTAAATATAGGATAAAGCTCTCGACCTTGATCAATTCGAAAGATGCGTCATGTACCATATCTGGCTTTTGCAATGACTCGCGCTGTCTCACCGATATAGCGGCAGTGATGCTATCTTCCCAGATTTGTGACAAATCTGGTACCAATTCACCGACCCCGGAAGAATGGAGGGCTTGGTGAGCCTTAAGCGCGAATTGAACTATCGATTGATCGATCATACGTCTTGCAGAGCACCTCTAATTACTGTGCCACACGCGCTCTCTGTGAAATGACGTTTTCTTCTTGACTTAATGCTTTCTAAAATGCTGATGAACAAGCTCTGAATCTCCAGCAAAAGCGCTGAAATCGCACATCGTGGCAAGAAGAAAAAAACTCTTCAAAACTCAGAAAAATAAATATTATAGATGGACTTAAAATGCTTGTAATTTCTAGGAGAAATATGGTGCTTCTTATCGCATTCTGATTTTGAGAAATATCCTTTTCGTGGAGACTTGCTTAATATACTCTGTACCGTAAGAGCACTACGGTGATTGTAGGTACAGTAATCATGGCCCTTTGATACCGTTTCACAAAGATCTTCCTTTTTTTTTCAAGCCCTACTCCTTATTTCGTGTGCCAAAGAGTAGAATGGCGATTATAAGAAGTCAGTGCTGCATCAAAACTGACTACTGAATATCAAATTAAAATCAGAGCAGAGCTGTAGCCTTCTAGTTAGTAGCACAGACTATCAAGAAACAAGGCTTTGATTTAATCTCCTTCCGAAACACTATCTTGCTGACAATCAACGTGCGCCTTACAAAATGCCCTATCTCTAGTTCCTACAAGATTTGTCTCAGCGCATTACGTATTTTGTGAAATACACGAAATTCTTGATCAGCACTCTAAACAACATACGAGATTTTCGAAGCTCTTATTGGAGTATGTCTGCGATGACGGATCGGAAAGTTGATTCCCAAATTTAACACTACGCTTTCATCATAGGGTACGGAAAGGGTCAAATAGGAGCTCTCAAGGTAAAAAAAATCTAGGAACGGCTTCACTGAGGCCTTTCCACTATGTGTTTTGATAACAAACTCATTTCTGTTAAGAGTACGATGACGTCAAAGGATTCGCTATCAAAGAAAAACAAACTGTAATAGGTGTTCCCGCGTTATACACAATCTTAGGTGATCACAACAACGAAGAGGTGGAATATTTCTCGCTTCTGCTAATGAATCTACAAGAGACTATAATGTAATCTAAAAAAATTTTTTTCCATGAATGTTTCTAATGGGCCAAGGGACTGCTATTGCATCAA